ATGGAGCATGTGGATGGCAGTGAGATCATCCATTGGTTCGACCTCCCCGACCGCAGCTTTCCACTTGACCAGAAAATCGGACAAGCTCTCCCCCTCTAGCTGCTTGGCCTTCTCCAAATACATGTAAGGCTTCCTTATGAAACTTGAGGTCACAAACTTGTGGTTGATCTTCCTCGCCAAGGTTTTAAAATCGGCGATGGAGCCCGGCTGAAGTGACCTGAACCATTCCGCCGCCCGACCGAAGAGCGTGGAATAGAAAGCCCTACACATGACGGCGTCAGACACGCCCATCATCATCATGTTGCCGTAGTAGGTGTTAACATGGACCTTGTACGGCCATCATAACCTTTATTGCCCGGGACTTGCAGATCGAGCGGGTATGGCTGGGCCATTATCTCCGCTGTGAAGGGTGTCCTTAGCAGGGAGGCTGATTGATCGACCGGGGGCCTCACTGCGTGCTCATTTCGAAACCGAGTGAATTCCGCTCGGAGGTCGTTGAGCAGTCCTCGGGTCTCATTAAGCTCGGTCGTCTGGGCCGGGGCCGGATCCCGGGCGCGTCGAGGACGATGCGATCTCGACCCACTTTGCGTTGACGAACCTTCCTGGCTGGCTTCTCTCATTGGTGAGTCTACTAAGCGCCGACTCGGGTACTGTGGTCCCAATGGATGCCGCATGGTTGGGCGGAGCCGCTCGAACGCCATTTCCCGATTGGCTTCTTCTTGGGGATCTTCGGCTGGGGCTTGTATCTCCGGCTGAACCTGTTGGGCCTACCGTGGTACCTCCATGGCCTCGGCACCCTGCGACCCCAACCTCGAACGAGCTGAGTGCCTAGCCCAGGAAGTGGGCTGAAGCTCCGGCTCGACCGGTACAGTCGGGTAAATCGGAGGGGCGGGGGCTGGAGCCGTGTGCACAGGCATGTAGGGTGGATAGCCAGTCGGGGATGGATAGAACATCGGCTGACCGGGCCAGTACCCATATGGTGGAGGTGGGGCCGGGTACGGATACTGCCCGGGATACTGGAATTGCTGACCGGGTGGTGGATATCCCGGTTTGATGTACTGAACTGGCTGCTGGGCGGCCTGGTTGTCAACCGGCGAGTGGGGCGGTGAGAGGTTGAGGTTGAGGTCGACGTTTTGACCCTGGTTGTCAGCTGAGCTAGCTACATCTGCCTAGTCATAGTCGTTGATGTTATACATGTAGGGATACATGGTGATAAGAAGAACCAGTGCTCGTCAAACGTTAGCTTTCGTGCACTGTTCTCCACGGACGGCACCAAAATGATAGTGTTAATTCCACGTAGTGCGGTCAATATAATTCAACACAGTCCAATCGAAAGCAAGTAAATCTTTATTGATCGGGTAAAGGACCTAATACAATCTACAATGGATATTCCGAGGGCCGACTGACTGCGGTCGGGATGCTCTGTAAATAGCCTATCGATCGTTCAAAAGTCCATCACACTGTTGCCGCCGCGGGTATTTATAGCCACTAGGCCGGAGACACAAATCCGGCTATCCGGCATGTAACCCACGTAGCAACCACGTGTCTTCCTCCCGGGAGCCCTGCCTATCAGCGCGTAATGCTGCCACGTGCCCCTTCTCAGCTCTCTCGTCTAAGGGCTATCGATCGGGAATTGAAGACGCCGGTCGGGCGATGCACCGGTCGGGTCCGACCGGGTTCTTCTAAGAATGTCCGACCTGTAACCTGCATAAACAAGAATAAGACACGGAGGCATGTCGGTCGGGGTATTCCTTACCAATATATATATATATATATATATATATATATATATATATATATATATATATATATATATATATATATATATATATATATATATATATATATATATATATATATATATATATATATATATATATATATATTACGATTAAGAAAATATTAAGTTTAGGAATATACTAGTTTTTTACGCGCATTGCGCGATAGGAATAATGCCCAACGTTTTTTCTTAAATAAGTATTTTAAAGTATATCAAGGAAAGATTATATTAGAATTGTTCATGCATAGATAATTGAATGTTGAATTTGTATATTTAAATTGGTAATTCTAAGTTTACACATGCAATATAATATAGTCAAGATTGATTATAATTGTCAATAAAATAATTGTATGGGTATGGTTGAAACAAAATACGGGACATATGGGAGAGCAAATAAAAGTTAAACCATAAAATATTAAATATATACTAATATTGTTTGAGGAGATTCCGGTGGTTAGAGTTCTATTAAGACTTTAATATTAGAATTAGATTAATGTTGTAGTTATAATTCTATATTAGACTTTAATATTAGAATTAGACTAACGGGGAATTAACGGTACTTAATGGAAAAGTTAACGGATCGGATAATCATATAATTAAAGATAAATTAGGAAATCTAAAGGAAAAATTAAAATCTGAACAATCTGAGATTTAATCATTTGACGGTCATTTTTTTTTACCCAATGTTTATAATTAAATAAATATTTGAAAGTATATAAATGCAAGATTATACATGAGAAGTTCAACATAAGTAATTTAATGTCTAATTTGTTTATTTAAATATGTAATTCATAGTATATGAATTAAATGTAATATAAGAGATTCATTATAATTGTTACTAATTTTTTTTTTTTAAATAGTAACCAAGTATTTTTGTTGCAAAGGGTTCTAATATATTTAGTGAATGAACATATATACAAGATCAATGAATGAATCAACGATACCAGTCCTTTAGGTGTTCTGCTCAGTGTTCATTAGTTCAACCATTATTGTTGAATAAATTATTATGGATAAAGAAATTCCTAATTTAAGGAATTTAGATGTAGCAAAAATTTAATTTTTTTAAACTATAATGTAACCCAAAGATATTGGACGATTGGTAAATATGATGTAACCCAAAGATCAAAATGTTAAAGAATGTGTTTTGGTTATTCAACAGTTTGAAGCAACAATTTGTTCCAAACCACTGAAAATACAAACATTGCAATTTACAATATTTTCACTTAACGGTTTTTATAATGATTTCCCCAAAACAAATCTATATTTAAAAAAAAATTATTATTAATACAATTATTATTATTATTATTATTATTATTATTATTATTATTATTATTATTATTATTATTATTATACCCTTAGATCGTTTTAAATGTTAATTTAAACAGCTAATTTTTTCAAATATCTTTTTACCAACCGTTGATATAATTCACTGGTCAAATCCGCTAACTTCTGATTGTCAAACAAGGACATTGCGAGGTAGTTTCTCACTTCAATTTGTTGTGTGATTTGAATTCTCTCTTTGTCAACAAATCTCTCAAGTACTTAATATAATTGGCTTTATTAATTTAAATTTTTAAAATTTTTTCATGGTATTAATAAAATACTTGGTAAATAAATATATAGCATTATTTTGTATTATAACTTTGATATCTGATTAAAAAATAGTGCACAAAAAAGATAATATATAATGTAGTGAATTTAATCAATTGATGTGTTAGGAACATGTGTATTAGGATTTTGATGATACCAATGTAACTTAGAAGTAGACCCCTAACTTTTTGTCATTTGTTTTTGGTTACCTTCGTCTTAGACGAAAGGTACCTTACCTCAACATGTAATTCGTGTTAAGCTAGACAAACACACGAAACCGAGTTAAGAGCAATTTTCTAGTTAGGTCTCTCCTAACGAAATAAGAATAGCTCGATGAAGCAAAGTCTCGTCCCTCTTGAAAGACGAAAGATGATCTTCTACAACAGAAAACTAAAGCCGAAAGAAGCCTTCTGTCAAAGAGACATTTATGACTGTCAAGACAACTCATCTTCTCTCAACTCAAGAAGAATATGTCAATCTGTCTCATATGAAGATCATCCTAGGAAGAGAGAGATCTCCTAAGAATGAGAGCACACTTATCAAGGTGCGTTAAATGCCAAAGTACTACTTTTCAGTGCTAGAAGACAAAATAAGCAAAAGTGCTTGTCTCCAACGGCTATGCATTACAGTCGCATTTAATGAAGCAATAAATGCACAAGGCTCTCCGGTTATTAACCACTGGATAATAGGTTTGAAATGCCATCTCCCTCCAACGGATGGATTTCTTCTCGCCTATAAATACCCATCTTCCTCACAGTAGAAGGTGCTGGTTTTCTGAATGATCAATCTCTCACTCTCAAAAGCGCATTGTATTAAAGAACACTCTCAAAGCTTTTGAAATCTAGTGATTCAAGGTGTGAATTTTTGTAGAAGCAAATCTGATATCATTCACAACCTTGAAGAAGTCTTGCAACCTTGTACTGGCTGATCATCCATCCAGCCACCAGCCAGTCAAGACTTCACCGTGTTGGAGAAAACTCAAAGATCAATCTTATCCAACCCTCAACTCTGAAGTAGAAGTTGATAGAGGCGGAGTAGACTCTAGGAGTTGAAAAACCTTCAAGTAGCTGTCCGGCTTAGTGATCAAGGAAACTATCTTGGTGTAATTTGTACTAGGAGTGATAGTGCAAACCTTTCACGAGTTGTGAAAGAAGAGTGGAGTAGGCACAATTGGCCGAACCACTATAAAAATCTATTGTCCTTGTCTCTTTACCTATTCAGCGTTTACTTTCGTGCATTGCATTCCACTCGCCCTAACCGAAAGTTCTCCACAAGATCAAACAGTGCAAAGAAACCTAAAACTTATATTACATATCCGCTGCGTAATAACCCCGAAAGGAGCTATTTTGCGAGAAAACGAATTGAGTCTATTCACCCCCCCCCCCCCCTCTAGACTCTCCTTTCGACCCTACCGGGACCAACAAGTGGTATCAGAGCAGTTACCTTGAACGGTAAAGGCTTTGCCTTTACTGCCTGGTAGATCCCTTTTCATTAAAAATTTAAAATCTGTTTTTTTTTTTCTCATCCTTTGCACTCATTTTCTAAAAGAAAAATAGAAAAGGATCATGGTAATAACCGATTTAGGCCTCGTGCCTTTAATCTATCAAAATTTGATGATTGGAAAGTAAGGATGCAGGCACATCTCTCGGCGATCCATGATGAAATGTGGGAAGTTGTATGCACAGGACCCATCACAGTGATGATGGTGAACACCAATGCTGCTGCACAGGGAGCTGATGCAGAACCGATGATACCGAAACCAAAGTCTCAGCTCAACTCGGATGAGAAAACAAGAGCTAACCTGGATAATGTGGCACGAGACATTCTTTACAAATCACTGGACGACTCTCTCTTCCCAAGAGTTCACAAATGTAAAACAGCCATGGAGATATGGAACGTTCTTATGAACTTGGGAGAAGGAGATGAGCAAGAAAAGGACAACAAACTCACTGTTTCCATGAAGAAGTTTGAAGACTTCAAAATGATGCCTAACGAAGCTATCACCGACATGGAGCTAAGATTCACAAAGCTTCTGGGTGACCTGTCAGATCTTGGAAAAGAGCTCACTGAAAAGGAAAAGAATTTGAAGATTCTTCGAGGTCTCCCGAAATCATGGGACATGAAAGTCACTGCAATGAGGGATCATCGCGACATGAAAACCACAAGCACAAGAAAAATATTCAGTGATCTGAAAGCCTATGAGTTCGAGCACGAACCGAAAGAATCAGAAGAACCCGAGATCAGAAACGCGGCTTTGGTGGCCAACCAACAACCCTCGACATCAAATAGGTCAACTTCTAACTCTGCAAATTTTTTATCTGACGAACAATATGCCATGTTTGTTAGGAAAATGAAAAGATTCATGCGAAAAAACAACTTTCAAGACTTTTAAAGATCATCAAGCCGAAGGCAACATGAAAGATCTCTGCTTCCACTAAGACAAGAAAATGTGGATTCACAAATGTTGTGCTTCAATTGTCGAAAGCCTAGACATTTCAAGGCAAATTGCCCACACCCAATGGTCAGCAAACATTAGGACTCAGGCACGACGAAAGAAACCAGCGAAAGGAATGACAAACCAGAATCGTCAAACCACAGAAACGAAAGAAGGAGAAAAGCAATGGTTGTAAATGAAACAACCGAGAATAATGAATCCGAAAGCAGTTCCTCAAGCTCAAGCTCGGATGATGACAGTGCTAATGGAGAGAAGGGACTTCTATGCTTGTTCAGCAAGGAAGACGAATCAAGCGAAATGTGTCTTATGACACAAGATGAAGAGGTAGACTCTCAATCATCCTCTTTTCTTTCGTTAGAAACAAACTCATCACATGATCAAAACTCCAATGAATCTGTTAATGATGTGATGAGGAGATTTGCTATCATAAATAGCACATACTCTAAATTGAAGGAGGAGAACTCTCGATTATTGATCAGCCACAATGAGCTAAGGCGAGTTCGAATAGAGAACATAAAGCTAGCCATTGTAAAGGATCAACTCGAAAAGTAAGTTCTATTTCTCAAAGAGCAGTGTACAGAAAGAGAGAAGTGGGAGCAACATTTGCGTGAGGTTCTTGATTCATTAAATAATTCATCCAATCTAATGGACAGAATGGTAAATGGGTCAAAGCCGCCTGGGGAAAGAACCGGAATTAGTTATGACCTCGGCTCCTCTTCACATGCCACCTTAAACCAACCCACAAATGTTTACACCCGTGAAAGCTTTACATCTATTTTTGTTCAAGGTCCCACTCAAATGTCTGAGCCAATGACCAAGGTTAACAATGGGGAAACACCACAATCGACAAGCCAACCTAAGGGAACGGCTGTACAACGAATTGTGGAACCGAGAAATGAAAATCCCTTGAAAGGCAATCCTAGGCACAAGAATGCCAAAAGGAATGGACCAATCAGAAATAGATTTAATCAAGTTCAAAAGAAAGGTCAACCTACAAGGAATAATCAATCAAGTTCAAAAACGAATGTTAATCAGAGGCAAAATCATGCACGAAAAAATCCCTCACAAGGAAATGCATATTTCAGACATGCCGAGAGGTCATTCAGAAGACCGAGGACAGGCAATGGATGGAGTGGACCAACCGAGGAAGATTGGTTTGATTATCCTGAACCCCTATCGAAAGCGCAATTTGACAAAATACACTTGCATAAGCAAACCAATTATTTCAAGCAGTTTCATAATCCACCTGCAGATTATTTTCAAGAACGATATAAAAACAAAACCTTTACAAAAATCTTTTATGATTATCGTGTCTTTAACGGATACAAGGGACCGAGAATGAGTAGAGGTTACTCTAGGTTTGCTTGGATTCCAAAGTTGACCTCTAACCCCGAAGGACCCGCAACCCAAGGGGTACCTAAAAATGCATAATCCTTCTTGCAGGAAAAACATGTCATATGGTATGTGGATAGTGGATGCTCAAGACATATGACTGGTGACAAAACAATTTTGAGCAACTTTAAGGAAATTGATGGCCCAAAAGTGATATTTGGAGGAGAAACAAGTGGAAAGGCGTGTGGAACAGGAGATGTCATTAGAAATGGCATAACAATTCAAAATGTTTCATACGTAGAAGGATTGAAATTCAACTTGCTGAGCACAAGTCAATTTTGTGATAAAGGATACAACGTCGAATTCTTCCAAGAAAAATGCAATATCGTCAGCACGAAAGATGGCGAAATTGTTCTCTCCGCGACGAAAGAAAAATACGTATGTTATTACTTGGAATTCCTTTAATACTAATGTTTCTCTTGTAGCTAAAAGCAATGCAGATCTATGTTGGGAATGGCACAACAAACTAAGTCATCTGAACATTAAGACCATCAACAAGCTTGCAAAGAAAAATCTTGTAGAAGGTCTACCAGAAGCAACGTACATCAAAGAAAAAATTTGTGAAGCATGTCAAAAGGGAAAACAAATGAAATCATCTTTCAAGTCCAAAGAATCAGATATAAACTCTCGACCATTGAGTTTGCTACACATGGATTTATTCGGACCAGTTGACCCCGCAAGCCTCAGTGGACGAAAGTACACGCTAGTCGTGGTGGATGATCACACGAAGTATACATGGGCTTTATTCCTGAAGAAGAAAAACGAAACATAAATTGTTTTACCCAATCTCTTAACACAGCTTCAAACAGAGAAGGAAGTAAGCATTATAAGGATCAGATCAGATCAGATCAGATCAGGGAACTGAATTCGTGAACAAAGTCATCAAGGATTTCTGCGGACAAAATGGCATATTTCATCAACTTTTGGCAGCAAGAACCCCATAGAAAAATGGTGTTGCCGAAAGAAGAAACAGAACCTTGAAAGAAGCAGCACGAACAATGATTGCACATTCGGGTTTGCCTAAGCGTTTTTGGGCCGAGGCCATAAATACAGCTTGTTACACACAAAATCAATCCCTGATCAACAAAGCTCACAACCTCACTCCATATGAATTATGGAAAGGTAAGAAACCTGTCATTAGTTATTTTCACATCTTTGGTTGCAGGTGTTTTATTCACAACAACGGGAAGACTCATCTAAAAGCTTTTGACGAAAGAGCTGATGAATGACTATTTATGGGATACTCCTCGGTTAGCAAAGCATACAGGGTTCTCAATAAAAGAACAATGGTCATTGAAGAATCAATACATGTCAAATTTGATGAAAAATCTGAGAAATTTCCTATAGAGATAAATAAGACATCTGGTCAAAGTTCATCTCCTCAAGAGAATGTAAACATCGATGACGAAGACTCAGATCTTGAGGATCATTTACCATCTTACACAAGATTTCAATCGAAGTCTACAAATTCCGAATTTGGAGCACAACCTGTTGCAGAAACACAAGGCACTAACACGAATGTTCAACCTACCTCAGAACCAATGATATGCATCGATCTACCTTATATTCCTGAGATGGAAAATCAACAGCAACAACCACCTTTTGAACCAAATCTAAGATGGCTAAGAGATCATCCTCCTGATCAAGTTATTGGAAATATTCAAGAAGGACTAAGAACAAGAGCTTCCTTACATGAAAATATGATGGCTAGTTTCCTATCACAAATGGAACCAAAATCTATAGAAGAAGCTCTAAGTGATCCAGACTGGGTGATAGCCATGCAAGAAGAGCTTCACCAATTTGAACAAAACAATGTATGGGAACTTGTTTCGAGACCTACACATCAAAACGTCATTGGAACCAAATGGGTATTTAGAAACAAAATGAGTGAAGACGGTCTCATTGTTAGGAACAAAGCTCGTCTTGTTGCTAAAGGCTACCGTCAAGAAGAAGGTATTGATTTTGATGAGACCTTCGCCCCCGTGGCTAGGCTTGAAGCTATACGAATGTTTCTAGCCTATGCAGCATATAAAGTGTTGGTCCGAAAAGAGGTAAGGTGAAAGTCTAGAGGGGGGGGGGGGGGGGGGGGGTTGAATAGACTTTCAAACTTTTTCGCACAGCACAACAATTGATAAGCCAGAGATAAACCAAAACTCTTAACTAGATTGTTAGAGTATGGTGCACAGCGGAATTAAATAAAGATAAAGTGTGTGTGAGATGTGAGCAGTATATCTCGTGTAGAGCAATTAAGTAAAGAGCAGTAAGTAAAGAAAGCAGTAAAGAACTCAAGACAACTATAGTGGTTTGCGAGGTGGTGTAATCCTCCTACTCCACTTGCTCTTATCTCCAAGAGCAATTCACTATATCCACCACTTCTTGGTTCCAAGATACAATGAATTTCCGTGATCTAGTGCTTTGATCACAAAGCCCGCACTAATCACGCCCAGTGTGTTGGTCCCGATAGGGTGGTGAAAGTCTAGAGGGGGTGGGGGGGGGGTGGGGGGTGAATAGACTTTCAAGCTTTTTCAAATTAAATAACTCTTTGGTAACTTCAACTCTAAGTAATAAGTAAATAGAGCCAGTTTGTACTGCACAGCGGAATAATAGTAAAGAGTTATGCCCAACTAGTAAATTAACTGTGCAAGTATAAGTAAGTTAGGTACAAATGATATGTAAGTGACAGAGATATCTTGAATATATAAAGGAGATGGTTCACTCAATATATAATAACAATATTCAAGATTGTAAATAAATATCGTATCACGTCGAACGTGTGACGAATGTTACATGCAACACGTCAAACTTGCTTAGAATAAATCACTATTTAAGCTCGAGAAGTTTGAGTCACATGCATACGTGAGAACACACTAAACCCGGATGATTAAGATTAACTGTGAATAGTAAACGGGTTAGTCGGATGAGATAGATAGATGTAGCAAATAATGTAAGTGCGGCATGTAAATGAGAGAGGCAATTTATAGTGGTTCGGAAGTGGCGTAATCTTCCTAGTCCACTTTTCTCCTTTCACGTCTCGGAGAAATTCACTATTTTTCACACACAGTTACAATAGTGAACAAGTGCTACACAAGCACTTCCTCCGGATGTCTTGCACACAGCTACACCCAACTCTGAGTGTCTGGCACACAGCTACACTCAACTCCGAGTATTTCGCACACAGCTATACTCAACGCCAACTAAGTGTCTTGCACACAGCTACACTTAGCAACTACGAGTGTTTTGCACACAGCTATACTCACTAGAGTATTTTGCACACAGCTATACTCTTTCTACAATTTACAAATACAAGGATTTGTATTTCTCTCTCCAACTAGATTTGAGACTATTCAGACTAAGTCTCTTAGAATATTTTGAGCACTAGCACTTTTGAATTTTGCACTTGTATTCTATCTCGTTCTTCTCTATCTCTTCTCACTTGCATTTTGTCTTCAAGTCTTCATGACTTTTTATAGTCAATCAAATATATCCGTTGGAGTGGGATAGTTTGATATTTGAAATTTGAATCTTCATAGCCTGATATTGTTGACAGTAGTAGATTTTCAATTTTGATTTGATTTGTCAACTTGCCTGACAAAGTAATTATTTTTAGCACAACTTTGATTTTCTAGTTGTTTCTAAAAATATTACTTTAATTGTCAATTTGAATATCCAACGAATCTTTGAAATAAATTCATCTGATAGAATTTATTTCTAGGATAAGTTTTTATATTCATGCCTTCATAAATATTTTTCCGTTCTGATCAAATGTCTTTCAGGCAATTTTGGAGTCTTGTGGCATGTGGGTGAACTTGGAGTAAATTCCTTCGAATTTATCCAATTTCTGATCATCTTGCTCTTTTGCCACATTGTGCTCCTTTGACTTGAACATCGTGCTCCTTGACTTTGAACATTGTGCTTCTTAGGTGGCATTGTGCTCTTCTGACAGCATTGTGCTTCTTAGGTGGCATTGTGCTCTTCTGACAGCATTGTGCTTCTTAGACAACATTGTGCTCCTTTCAGATTTGGTCACATTGTGCTCCTTCGGACACATTGTGCTCCTTTCAGATTTGGTCACATTGTGACCCTTTAGTAAGCATCATGCTCCTTTAGCACACATTGTGCTCTTTTGAACACATCGTGCTCCTTTAGCACACATTGTGCTCTTTTAGCACACATCGAGCTCCTTCAAAATCTGCCTTAAAAATATAGCTCCTTAGGGGGAATTGATCTCGGGTGTGATCGTTTAGAGTAAGGACCTCTACCATTTCGCCGTTAGGTTCATCCGATCACTCCTTGCAACGCCATTGCTTTATGCTTCTTTCACGGATGAATACTCGTAGGACCAAAATTAATTTCTCAAATTAATTTTGTTCTTCCTATGGTAGATTCCTTCTGATTTCAATATTCTGATTTATGATGCTTGTACGAAAGACTTAAAAACTAAGGGGATCTAAAGATACATTTGGCTCATCAAAACTTACAAAAATATTTCTATCAATTTTCCCCCTTTTTGATGACGCCAAAACCTATACTCAGTCATTTGGCTTGTCTTTTAAAACAATTATTTTTCAAAAGATTTTATTTTCATTGACATAGCCAAGATGAGTTTAACAAATGATTTTGACTCTAGTAAAGGTATTTTTAGCCACTATATTCCTATTTCGCATTTTTGGAATTTTAATGATAATGAATTTTTGCATTTTTCCAATTCATGCGATTTGATACACTCTAAGCTAAAAATGTTACCTTTCAAGACAAATAATAAAATTAAGAAACAACTTAATAGCATCATAAACAGATAATTCAAATCATTCCAAATTGTTTCATGGGTTCATGTACCCGTGGACCACAAAAATTGTACCAATCATACAAATCATCTAATCACTTTGTTTCTCTTTTCCTTGAGCACATTGTTAATATGGTTCTGAACATCAACGAAATTGTCACTAATGGCAAAGTTGTTGCATACCTGCCCAACTGAATAGTAGTTGAAAACTTCAGTGATGTTGCTCCCGGGCAGTATACCTTCCTCATACCATATGATGCACTCTTCTAGACTTTTTCCATCTTGTAGCTCGGCATCATTGACTTTGATGTAGTCCCTTAGAACCATAATCATCAAGGCTCTAGCATAGCTTTGAATTCTTCTGAAATTTTCACTTGAAACCCACATGTTTTGATCACTAGGACCACTTTTCTTCATTCCTTTTGGTAGATCATTCAAAGTCACCAACTTTGGCATTTCAACTCTACTATCTCTCGGTGTGGATTCCAAATAAAGAGCTGCACGGTTGTACCAATTTATTTGCTCAATGTTTCCTCCTGCACAAACAATATCACGAAAAGAACGGTTAGTGGTATTTGCACTGCTTGGTCCTCCTGGACTGCCAGCTTCACCACCACCGAACCAATACTCCAATCCTCCTTTTCTTGGTGCATTTCTTCCAGCAGATCTTCCTCCTCCACCTCTACTACTGCTTGTGCCAACATTTCTGCTAGCCATGGCAGTCATCATCATCTCAATCATGCTCTCCAAATGACTGAATCTCTCTTCCCCCTTTTTGGCGTAATCAAGAAGTGTATGAACCGATTCACGAAGAGATGAAATGGATTCGGAAATATTCTCATAAGAACCCCGAAGACAGCCCACTTTGGTGTTAACTGAGATGAGATCCGTGTGGACATCACTAATCTGCTTTTCATGTTGATGAACAACATTGAGAATACCTTGACTTTGGTTCACGGCAATTGCTTCATTTGCCTTTCCAGAATTCTTGAGGATTTGGGAAAGTTGGATATAGAACTCATTGAGTTGCCCTTTGACATTGTTATTCAAACTTCCAACTTGTCTTTCAAGTGCTTGGTGGGTATCAATCAAATGTTGTTGACTTCTCCGATTTTCATCAAAAGATGCTTCAAATTTTCCACCTTGAATATTGACAACTTGATCCACATGAGTGTAGATCCCTTGAAACATGCTTTCCATTCGGTCAACAAGGCTTAAGACAACTTTCTCCAGATTTTCTAATTTCTCATTTGTAGGTGTGCCATCAAGTTCTTGCTCTTCTCGGGATGAGGGAAAACACCTTGCTCCTTCTTGAGCAAAATCGGCTTCAAGCATGTGAGATTGAGCTTGATTTTCCACTATATTTCCTTCCCTTTCCGGAGTGTGTAGCACGTGAGTGTCACCATGTGCACTTTCTGCATTGATAGATTGAATTTCCTCCGTATG